TCATTTCAAAATGGTGGCCATTTTAGTGACGATTTTACAGTAATTTAGGTGCAATATGTAAAACTGTAATAGCAATATGTTTTAAATGTAAAAAAAATTATAAAGGACATTAATAATGCTACAAATGTAGATATTAAAAAGCACATGGCAGCCATCTTGAAAAATGGCGGCCTTTACTCGTCATTTTACGATTTTTGCTGTAACTTTAAAAATAGTGGAGCAATTTTGTTCATATTTGGTGTGTGAATACTATAAGCATTGCACACTGTCTAAAGACACTTTTGGTAGAAGGCGGCCGCCATTTTAATGTATTTTACTATAACTCGAAAAGTAGTGGAGCGATTTTGTTCATATTTGGTATGTGAATACTATAAGCATGGCACACTGTCCTATGACACTTTTGGTAGAAGGCGGCCATTTTAAAACAATTTTGAAAAATGGCCACCATTTTAATGTATTTTACTATAACTCGAAAAGTAGTGGAGCGATTTTGTTCATATTTGGTATATGAATACTATAAGCATGGCACACTGTCCTATGACACTTTTGGTAGAAGGCGGCCATTTTGAAAACAATTTTGAAAAATGGCCACCATTTTAACGTATTTTACTAATACTCGAAAAGTAGTGGAGCGATTTTGTTCATATTTGGTATGTGAATACTATGAGCATGGAACACCGTCTATTTCTAATGACGCTTTTGGTAGAAGGTGGCCATTTTGAAAAATGGCCGCCATTTTAACGTATTTTACTATAACTCGAAAAGTAGTGGAGCGATTTTGTTCATATTTGATATGTGAATACTTTAAGCATGGCACATTGTCTAATAAAACTTTGGGGAGTAGTCGGCCATTTTGAAAAATCGCCACCATTTTTACGTGTGTTATTTTACAAGTACGTGTGCGGTTTTTCAAAAAATTTTAGAGGTGGCTACTTAAAAGCATATTATTTCTTCTGATGACAACTTGGCTAGTGAGCAACCATTTTGAAAATGGTGGCCTTTCTGGTGTGATGTTTTATGATATTTGCGCTTCGTTTGTAAAAATGCCAGCCATTTTTGTTCGATGGGATTCGCTACGCTTTGGCGTTGCCGTTGTTCTGGTTATACATATGAATTCAAAACATTTTTCTGTGTTTTGCTAAACATGTATATTAGGAGTCCCGCAATTCATCGTTACATCGATGCATCAGCTCTTTTGATTACGATACGAGCATTTCCATACACACTGTCAAATATCGAAACCCAAAAATATTGTCAACATACCTGTAATACATGTACTTCATATCTTGCTTAAATCTTCTGCATGTTCAGCTTTTTGGAAGTTCAATTTTACATTTTTTGTGTGGGTTTTAACATTGACACGTGCCCCATATTGAATATAAATATCCAACAGACGAGATCTCCAGTCAAAATGTGAACAAATTACTTCTCTCCTCTATGTCTAAATTATACAACGTTCTAGTGTCAAATTTTCATTCGTAATTATAGATGTGATGTCAAGCTGAACGTTCAAAAAATTTCAGAATGACATTAAATGTATGGAATCGTTGCTTGTATCATTAGGAAAGTATCGAGATATGTATCATATTATTGCATAATGTATTGTGTGACCCCTAATGTACAGGTATATATGGTTATAGCTACCATATTAGGAGAGAGATAGTCTGGCAAGGAATATCCCTTTAAATGAGTTGTCCACAAAATAGCAGTCATATCAGCCAACAGCCTGCAGTTGAATTTGCGAATGTTAGCTAAGGCAGTTATCTATGCCTGGTAATATCACTGCAAAGGTATGGAATTAAATTAATCTTATGAATGCTTTGCCTTGTATGTTTGTCTGATTTAAACTGGGGAGACTTAGACCACGGGGGCTCATATCATCAGTATGTAAGCCTACATGTAAACTGTCAAAGTGATTACTCAATGAGAAATCCAGGCTTGCTTTATGTGTCATGCTTAGCAAAGAACATTGACCGAGATATGGAATTCTCTCTACAAGATACCTTGAATTATGACCGATCTCTTAACGACCAAGCATGCATATTTAAAAAAGTCAACATTAAACAGGTTTATGTACATTGTGATTGATATCATATCAAGAAATTGAGGCGTTATATTGGAAAATGAGTTACCCTAATATCATGTGGATGATGCTTAAAAATTGACACTATTTGCCATGGTGTCAAATACACATAAGTATAACTGCTAAACAACACCTCTAAGAAAAAACAACATAATTTAAAAATTGACATTTTTGTTTCAAACTTTGTTTAAACAATCATGAATTCAAAATTGACAGTATGTCAAATACACAAAATATTGAAGACCTTTAAATAAAAAATATCATGATATCAATATCAAAATTGACCATTGGCTAGCTAGTTTCTATAGGGTGTAATTTGTTTAGTGTGAAAAAGACCTTGTATTGATATTTTGGCTTGATTTGACCATTAATAGCTCTGATTTGCTGTCAAACTACTATGTTTTATGTTTCAATCCAATCTATGTTAATACTTCTAGGGTGATTTGATAGGGTAGTACTCGCCAGTGCTTTTTATTTAGGTTAATTGCTGGCTCATAACCAGGTTGCTTAATGCTAATCATTCATCATAATTTAGAATGACACTAATGAATTAACATTTAATCTTTATTTATAGGTGTCAACTAAATCTGGTCAACAACATCAAAGATGATATTTCTTCGATTTGAAAAAAGGAATCTGAGACCCATGGATTCTTTATAAAATGAAAACAAAGTGCCCTTACATGTACATGTATGTACAAGTTGTTTATATGTAGTGTATGTAATATATAGAAATTAATTATTTTACAACATTTGCACATACTTACACATGAGTAAGGATGAAAAAGATGGATGACTGCATTCCCTGGCCACAGAAAATGATGCTGCTTAATTTTAATGTCACCTTCACTTTCTTGAGGCTGCTGTTCAGGGTATGGTGGTTGGTTTTTGGCAGTCAGCATTTGTAACAAATGGCAGGTAGTGATATTTTGCATGTTAATACCTTGTTTGTTATGTCACCATCGGAAATGGTGATATATTGTTATAGTCTCCAACTTTTTGGTGGACAGTGTATGGCATTTGGGGGTCAGCGTTCGGTGGTCGGTATCTAACAAATGGTGGCTGGTCCATTTAGCATGTTAATGCCTTGTTTGATTTTGTAAGCATAAATTAGTTGGAAGTATTGTATGGTTATATAGCTTTATTACCTGCAAACATTTGCTTAAAGATGATCTTGATGAAGTACATGTAATAGGTAACCTTAGGTTGCCTTTGATCCTTCAACAATGTATTAACTGATGATTCTGTGCAATTGTTTTATGTTTGTAGAAGAAGAATATTCCATATATCTCGGAGGATACATAAGTGAGGTTAAGTTCAATGTTTTTAAAAGAACGTGTTTGTGAATGTGTAATGTTATGTCAGATTAATTCCCAGGGATTACTGTTCCCTTCTCAAATTTTTACAGAGATCTAATTGCAATTATTTCTTTTCCCTATACCTTTATATTCCATTAGGCAATTCAAGTAAAAGCTACAAAGGAACGAACTAATCCCTGGAGGATCACAATTCTACATGTTCATGCTCAAGTTCTCTTAAAAGTGTAGCATTTACCTCCCTATAGTATTGTATCTTAATTTCAACATTTACCAGTAATAATTTCCCTGTGTGAATTAAACACATGCTGTTACATCCTAAACATTCCGGTATTATTCAACATGTGTGTCTATCATATATTTTCAGGATGTATTGCTGATAATTGCTTGTTTCAAATAGCTGGTCTGGTGTGATCATTTGAATTGGGATGAGCAATTTAGAAACAGAGAAGCAGTTAATCTGTAGAAATCTACATTCAGAGAACATCAGGTTGAATTGGACACATCAACCATTAAATTGGACACATCAGCCATCAAATTGGACACATCAATCATCAAATTGGACACATCAACCAAGCATTTTGATTGAAAATTCAAACCATAAACAGATGCTTATTGTTTCTCAGGTTTTGTAATCTTTTATAAATTTGTTCCCATAAATGCGGAACCTAGAATTATAGACATTGTGTGCGGAAATGATTTATGGACGAAACACATGCTAGATATTATTTGTCTGGTTTTATTAGTTTGTAGCATGTTTTCTGAAATAGCAGTAAACAATCTATGCTCAAATGAATCTAGGAAAATATAAAAACATTTTAGTTTTGTGAGAATTCTTTTCACCGGACTCGTTGAAGTAATACAGATATCCTGTTTTTGATTTCTTGGAGTTGAAAATAAATTTGACATTAAATCTTGCAGTGTATTATGACGTAAATCATTAAGCAAGGCTTATTGTAATTGAAGGAGGAACTTATTGGCATCGTTTGTTTGCAGTTACAGTTAATGATGAGCATAAAATGGTATCTAGTATTATAATATAGAATAGTAGGCATATTTATTTCATCATGAGTGTCATCCCCATGAGGTGAAGTATGCTCAAACTGAAAATCAACTGTGATTGGAGAATAGAATGATGAACGTCAGTTCTAAACTAATATCCAACTGAGCCGTATATAAAGGCTGTCTGATCAGGAGAACTCATTGATGCTGATAGATGCTTGATCAATATGATCATTTAAAGAACTGCTGAGTGATTAGAAACTAAAGGATGATTTAGTTGTAGCAAGGATCTAGTACTTGAACATAATATAGAAAGTAGGTACTTTAAAAAATAAACTGAATTTTTATAGATTAAAGGAGAACCAAAAGAACTTTTAAGAGATTTTATATTAGATTGGACTTGAGGACACTCCTTTGTTTTCTTCTATAAGTTAATGTTAGAGTGGTGAAAGAGGACAATAAAACCTAAACAGGGCTTGAAAGATAGGAGGTTGCTGTTAACTATAAATACATGTACTTCTAAAAATTTGGAGCAATTTATTACATATTAACTATGTAAATCTACAATTACTTTGAACGGAAAGAAAATACAGCCAGAAAATGTTTCGAAACAAAAGCCATTTTGACCAGGGATATTTCTTTGTTGACCCTATGTCAGATGAACTAAATATGAATATGAGTCAAAATATGTCATCAGACGAAATTGATCCTTGGCAGATAAATATTTACAATGAATATCCAGTGATGACTAAACTCGTTCGCAACATGCACACTTATTTCTTGCCGTTTCTGATTACAATTGGACTTACTGGCAACACACTGAGTGCTCTGGTGTTCACCAAGACATATCTCAAAACAATATCATCAAGTGTGTATTTAACAGCCCTGGCAGTATCCAATAATGGCTACTTGATTTCGGTGTTGACATTGTGGATGGACACAGAACTGAAATGGCCTTTGTACCACCAGAAAGATTGGTGTCCCACAATGGTTTTTCTGAATCATTTATGTGACTTCCTGTCAGCATGGTTCGTCGTTAGTTTTATGGTGGAGCGATACATCGCCATATTTTATCCACTTAAACGACCAGAGATGTGTACATCATTTCGAGCTAAGATTATATGTGCTGTTATCACATTTATAGGCCTGTCCCTCTATGTGTGTACAACATGGACCAATGATGTCTTACACACGCCATATGGTTCTGTTTGCCTGCCCATTAATCCAAAGTATGAAAATATCCACTTTGCCATAAACTACATTGATTTTGTACTGATATTAATTATGCCTGTTCTAACTATAATCATAATGAACATCAAAATTGCCCACAAAATCTCATATTTCTATGGGAGACAAAACATTGAAGAGTTCCGTAAGAGACATGTGGGAAAAATTACTGCTAAAACGACAAACTTAGGCAGCAGGGCACAAATTAAAGTCACTAAAGTTTTATTGATCCTCTCTACTGTTGTTCTTTTGATAAATCTCCCTATTCGTGCAATGAAATTAAGGAGCACCATCCTGTCCATTCAGGACCAGGATTGGAGGGAAAGCACTCTTGAATATCTTTGGCAAACCTTTTTTAATATTCTCTATTACTCCAGCTTTTCCATTAACTTCATAATATATTCAATTTGCTCAAAAAACTTTAGACGGGCCTTGGTTAGATATGCTTGGCAAAGAAAATATAGGACAATGAGTTTTTTCCGACGAAGGCGAACTTTTTTATTTAGGCGTACCCCTAGATCTGTGCCTACAGAACAAAGAAACATGCTAGACACTCCTTCACCAAACCCATCGTAGTATTGGTCGTTCATAAGACCCCTTCAGATACGCTTATCAGGATTGCACTGATATACTGTATGGATTGAGTGATTTGAAGCCTTCTGTAATAACATGAAGTGCTTGCTGATTCTGAACATAGTGATGATGATCAATGTAACTAACAGAAAGAAATCATTCCTCATATTTTGATTAACAGCTTGCAGTTGTAGTTATCTAAACAAGGCCTGACTTTGTAATCTTTAGACTTGGAAATCATGGGCAAATAGGTAATTCACCTTTGGGACAGCACTGCTTCTTGTGGCCGGCTGTATGTTACATTTAACATTGTTTGTTATTACATGTATGTTGCTACCACAAATGGTGACATATTGTTATAGTCTCAAACTTTTTTGTGGTGGCAGTCAGTGATTGGTGTTTGGTGGTTGTCGTTTGGCATCTGTAAAAATGACAGGTGGTGACATTTTGCATGTTAATGATTTGTCTGATATACAAAATTAAACATGATGTTATATATTATATGGATGACCTACGTATAAGCTAAGTTATTGATGTATTTTTGTAAACAGATCAATATATTTTGTCATTACTCTGTATGTACATATTTACACCTAATTTAACTGGCACAAATGTATAAAAAATAAGCCAAAGTATTAAACACTCACTCTGCTACATGTTAATTACTATTGGACATAAATAATATAGAATTATAAATACTTATAGCCAGAGGTCATCTGTGATGTTTTGCTCTCAATGTAAAAATCAGTTGTGCCAATGTAAAGCAGTCATGAAAAATATTTGCAGGAAAGTGGAGATTTATTAAAATCAACAAGTACAATTTTATGTGTCAAATATGAAAAATCTCAAGTAAAGAGTACAATGTACATTGTGAACTTCTCATGCTGCTAACTAGATTATAAAACAATTTTTGGAGAGAGGTTTGTATTATTAGTTCATGGCTATTACAGGATTTGGGATAAACCTGAGACTAACATAAAATATTATGTTAGTCTCAGGATAAACTAATAAGGGAAATATCTCTAGTTACACTAGAGAATAGGGCATATTTCTATCAGAAAATTAATGACCAGCTATTTTGGTTAATCCAATCTAATCTTGTGTTTTCTTACCCATTGTTTTCTTTCATTTACATGTAATATCCATTCCATGATAACAATGGATGATTATAGTATATTATAGCCCTTGGGAGAAGTTTTGGATGTAAACTTAATGCTTTGTAATTCTTGCTCGATTGATAATTGCTCAAGTTACAGTCATCAACTTTATGTTAGCGCAAATTGAGAGCTAAGGCCCTTAAGGGCTGATCATTAAATCTTGGTGTTAGTCACAGAATATGTTTTATCCTAAAAATGAGCATCCAATTTTTCTGTAGATTTAAGATTGTAAAAAACATTAATACAATACATTTATTGTGCTGGTAATTTATCTATTTTATGGTAGGCGCAATAAAATAAATAATCTAGTTTTGCATTTTCTTTATGGAAATAAATATGACATGCATGAAAGGATGTATGATGTACTGTACTGTGTATATTTGCTGTTTAAAAAATTGTAATTAACTTTTGCATAAACATTTAACTTCAGCCTGAGAAATCCATACATTGAATTGAAAAATTATGAGCTTACAGATTAATTTTTAATTATCAAAATGATCTAATAGTATTCTTATGTAAATAATTTTTATTTGATTATTTAGCAATAAGAATTATTTGTATATGAACATTGTAATACTAAGTTGGATTACAAAACATCCTGAAGATCTATTATATATATATATTTCATGTGGCATTCACATACTCTGTTGGTATCACACTGACCAACTAATTTATCAGTACAATAAACTTATTATATGTATATATTATATTTTGTTCTTTAAGACCTGTGATACCTACAGGGTGGCCCAATGAAATTGGAACGTTTTTTTATTTACTCTATCTTTATTATTGCAGGTCAATCCACAAAAATTCAGATAATGGTAAAATGATTATTTGTGAAAATATTAAAGATATATAGAAAAATATGTATGTATAATTATCTTTGGCATGTTGAAGATCTGTATACTGCGTGTGTCATGAAAAATTTCCAAATTTTCTCTGTTTAGGACCTTACTGCTGAAAATACAGTATATTTCATACCATACAATATGTATCCTCCAAATGATCTCAACGCAATTTCCATCAATTAAAACATATGTAGTTATCTCTAGGATAAGTAATGTTAGACATGTCTCCCTTGGAAAATATAGGTTAGCTAACCTCAGCTGTTTTTCCAAACTGGCACAAAATGTCTTATATGTCTTAAAACCTATCATTTAAGCCATGTATGACTGTCAAGACTCACCCCAGACTGAATGATCGGGTGGGTGGAGGACATGTTCAGGAAACCCTTGCATTGTGTAATTAAATGTTGAGCTTGTATATTCATATTTACACAAGCTGTTGAAAATGAATTGTTCGTCAATTTCCTAAAGTATTAAAGATAATACATGACTAACAAAAAAGTGACAATAGATTGAAAAATGTTCCCGAACATGTCCTCCACCCCTCTGAACAATCAGTCTGGGCTGTATTTGACAGTCATACATGGCTTAAATGATAGGTTTTGAGACATATTGTGCCAGATTTGAAAAACAGCTGAGGTCAGTTAAGCTATATTATCCAGGGGAGACATGTTTAGCTTCATAACTACATATGTTTTAATTGATGGAAATTATGTTGAGACCATTTGAAAGGTACATATTGTATGGTATGAAAGAGTTGTATTTTCAGCAGTGATGTCTCAAGCAGAGAAAATTTTGAAATTTTTCATGACACATGCAGTGTACAGATCTTGACTATGACAAGCCAAAGATAACTGTACATACATATTTTTATCTTTAACATTTTTACAAATAATCATTTTACCATTATCTGAATTTTTGTGGATTGACCTGCAATAATAAAGAAAATTGAATAAATAAAAAAAATGTTCCAATTTTTATTGGCCCGCCCTGTATAGAAATAAGTAGCTCTCGCATATCGCAGGTGACCCAAAATGACGAGGAAATTAAGAAAAATAAATCGAATGGTTTGAACTTTGAGGTGACCTTACAATGTTGATCTCAATACATCTCTAAGCTGGTGTTATTGATCTGAGCTTGATAAGAATTGTTGATCAAGATCAAAATGTGTTGAATACCTCTCAAGGAAAGTCATGTGAAAATAAATGTTGCCAATAAAGCATACAAACATAATGATAAACTCATTGAAAAGGGAATTTTCAAGTAGCCCTTGACTGTATGATAAAACACATCTATAACTATATAAATCTAACTTCCTATAAATAAAACTAATAAACATGATGGATTGTTAATCTATGTTTATAAATTAGGGATCTTGTGGCATCTGTAGCTGGAAATAACAGTAATTGATGAGTTTTGTATGTACGAGGGGGTATCATTAATTAGTGAGAAAAGTACCATAACTTTTTGAAATTTGATTTAATTGAATTAATATTTTCACCAAATACTTTCTAGGTGATATGCTACATCCCCATATAGTTTGATTAGTTAACTCTAACATAGGGTGGTTTGAGAGATTTCTCTATGACGTCATGACCAGTACCCTGGAGGATTTTATGTTTTATTTCCCAGGTCCTCCATACGGTGTACCTCAATGGCTTTAAGGAATATTTTCCATTTAATCGTATAGCTCTTGGGTTAGGATCTTCTGTACTGAAGTTTACTTAAGTCCTGACATTATATAGAGTTTAGTTATAGTGAATCTACATCCCTAGAAATCATATCTTCTATCAGTTTTGATGTTTGTCGGGATCACGATATCAGGTTTGCAACCAGATCTGGGAGCATCAAATATTGTGTGACTTCCATATTTCAAAAGGCAGAATACAACCTATACACAGTGGGAAGCTTCTTGTTTATGCACCCCCTACTGGCCTCTGTATGTTTCTCATACCAATATTCCCTTGATTGCATTGTATTTTATTATGTAACATTGATTTATTTGAGAATTCATGCTTATTTCAGCCAATTCTGTGTCTCTGATGCCACAGTCATGTGTGTGGCATAATGTGCAAGATATGACATCAGAATTGGTTGTGTTGTCATTACAACTGGATTTACCTCAGGACAATGTGTAAACAAGATTTGAAAAGTAACAGTCAATTTTTAAGAAATTACGTGGTAAAAAGTGCCCTGGTTTCTGTTACTTTTTAGCTGCTCCACGGACCCCTAGCAACTGTTGCCATGGTAACCGCTGTTGCTAGGTATTTCCTTGAAAAAATTAATGAGTATGTTCATTCAATACTCTTTTCGGGGATGTATATATCAATTTTTTTGCAATTGAATGAATATAAGATGCTGCTTCAAAATATTCTCACTAATTAATGATACCCCCTCGTAGCAAATGCAATTCCTATAATAACTCATTTTGATTAACAAGGTGTTATAACATCTTTGAAGTCGAAGATGATAAGAACACGGATCAGTGAAACCTTATAGACACATGTTGAATATTGAAAAATGAGCAGCTTACAGATTAATTTTTAACTTAATTTTTAACTTAATATCAGATTACTAAATATACCACTGGATAAAGTTTGTATACATATTATGTAGAAGCCATACCTCTGTTTGTTCTTTCATGTGTCTGGGCAACAACTCAAATACTAATTTTAGGATAATCAACACTGAGACAAAATCAATTTTTGAGATTTATGAGAAATTCAGAAGGAAATGAAGACATGAAATGAAAGTCTCATTTAATATTTTAATTGAAAAATGAAGAAAAGGGCAATGGTAAAACACCTAGTATAAGATCAGATAAAATTCCTAGCCTCTGAGCAAGAACACCTCAAAGGCTCATCCATTGGATGAATTCTCAAGAAGTAATTGAGACAGAATGATCAGTCAAGACAATTGCATGACAAGTCAAATGTTAAATAATGAGTTGGAAGAGGAAGAAAATATAACTGTTGAACACCTGAATGGAAAAAATGATCACCTTACACCTATCTAGAGAGGTTTTTAAAAATGGGGTATGAGAACACCTGAAACCACTTTGTGTGATTGCATTGAACCCAGTTCCAAAATAACTCTCAGAAGGTGCAACCAAACCTAAAGATGACTGATTGCTGGAAAACTTCCTCACTGATGATCTTACCCTCTATACTCACAAAATGTAGCTTAACAAGAAGCTTAGATAATGTGATGGCTTTAAACAAACGATACAATGTATGTCTCGTTTTGGTTAACATGAAAATCTTCATTTTCTTTTCTTTCAAAAGTTGGCACAATTTTAAAGAAGAATATTAAATGTTATGTAACAAATGTGGTCACGCATTGTCATCCAGAGGTT